AACTTGTACAAGTTGTGTATGTTTTAATCATTCGTTTGCGATTCCATTTTAGCAAAAAAAATTCTTTTAGAATATTTATTTCAAACCTTTCTGAGACTTGAAACCGGCAAACTTCAATAAATAAACATAAGATACGGAATTGTCTGATGGATAATATGAAATAATATGAATATATTGATAAGATTGATGGCGTATTTTAAATACTCTTATCTTTTCACGTAAATTGATAACTTGGTATATTGTTGGTGTATACTTTTATCAAAATAAATTAATTGAATTTATTTTTAAAATAAACGTAAGCATTTTTTCAACTATCATTTCGAGTATTCTAAACAAAGTTATTTTGCTAACAATTGATATGAAACCAATATGCCGAATCATCAAATCTCACTATGCCGAATCATCAAATACAAGTCCTCGACTACAATTCTAATAATGACAGTGAAACAAATGTCTTTATTCCGTTAATTGGAGACTTTACGTGTTGTTTACTGCATGAGATGGGCTCATGTTTGCTGAAAATATTAACAAAAACTGAAGAATGAACGAAAAATGAATATAAAATATTGGTATTTGGTATAAAAATTCTTATCCTGAATACCATTTTTCGGTCTTTATGGCATTGTATATATTTTCGTGATATTTTAACAACAGAAAAATCATATCAGAAAATATCATATGATAAAGAATAACTGCCAACGGAAAGGAGAGTAGCAAAAGTTAACACTTCGAAATATCTCATTAAAAAAAGCCCTTTAAGGTCAGCGTAAACGTATCAATAAAAATGAAAGTTAGAAGACGCATGCAGCTTCTGGGAATATTTTTTAAACTATTTTAAGAAAAAAACGCAGATAGCCCATTTTTTGCCACCAACACCGTTGGAGTAGCCTTAAACGGTTTTCGATGTGGGGCCGACATATAATCATTACTTACCTCTGCTTGCAACATCTATGTTATTAGGTTACCTTTGCCTTTTGTGACAAAGCTTATTATCATAATCTGCTTTCTCTTGTCAGATATTTCTAACAATCATTGAAACTCATTCGGTAGCAATGAAATCAGACGCATGCAGTTTATGGTCAGGTAGTCCATACAACAGTATCAGGTAATCAACCAATCCATACAACAGTATCTAGTTTTCTTTACCGGAATCACTCTTGTTACCTTATGTTAAAATTAAAAATGTGCTCAGCCCAGGAATTTACTCGAATAAAAAATTTCCTTTCTATCACCACCCTTTTCTATTCAAAAAATATTTGTTGTCATAGCACATAAAATTATTAATCAAAAATCGAACTAAGAAATAGAACAAATGTTCTTTCTGTTCTCGACTAGCAAATGCAAACGTGAAATTCGACATGGAATACGGACTACCGATGATGGATATTTGGCAATTTCCGAAACAGCTGTTTGGCAGAGATAAGAATAGTCAAACTGCCAAGTTGTTGACTTTAATATGTTATTTGACCTCTATCTGTTCAAGCCAATAAGCGCGTTTTCGCATTTAGTATTGATAAAATACATCTGCGATCTCGAGTTACCTTCCACCTGAAGCGTCTTTACAAATTGCTATACCCGATCTCAGTTAATATTTTAGATGCCGCACAGTGGATTTTCAATTGGACAAAAGATCTAAAATTTCAGATAATTAATTTTTAAATCTAAATCATTTAAAAGATTTTCCCATTTTGTATTTTACATACATAAATGTTTCTTCTGAATAAATGGCTTTTTAAAATTTTATATATATTATTAGATCCTATTTCTTTTTTTTTACTAGTTCGCCATGCTAGACTTAGTCAAATATTTTTTCTATATCATGAAAAATAACAGCTGAAATTTTAGTTACGAGTATTTAGATCTTTTGGGTTTTTATGTGTCATTTTGTGTGCTCGGGAATTGTTATGTGTTTTTTTGTCGGAATCCGAAATAATAGTTAGAATTTACTTGTTTAGTGTTCAATATGTCATATCCTGGTATTTTCTTTTAGTTAGTTTGCTCTTCTATACAGTTCTTTATTTCGTAATATGATATTCTTTTATTCTGTATTGAGTTGGAGTTAATTAAAATAAAAATAAATTATATTTATAAATATATTTATTATTTTCATTAACGATTTACTTATTTTTGAACAAAACTTTAAAAAATAATTTGATATTTTCAATTGTTTAAAGAAAAATATTTTTATTTAATTTTAGTTTCCAAATTTTAATAGATCAGACTTTCTAATGGTAAAATTGTTTACTTTTGATTCTTTTACTTTTAATTATATCGAAGCCTCGACAAATAAATTGCAGTTTTACACAAAAGGTCGGATCGTCCATTAAGGTATGTTTCAAAAATTTTACAACACACTTTCCATAATTAAAAAAATGTAGCTTTTCGACAATTTTCTGGTTTAATAATTTTATATAATTATATATTTTTTAAAAATAGAAATTTTAATGTCTTGGAAGTCATTATAATTAAAATCACAGTTTTTTAGTTGCTAAATTTATATTATAAGCATATCTTTGAAAGGTGTAGTTGAATAAGTTTTTTTTATAGTTCTTCAAAAGCCGCAATTAAACTTATAAACATAACAAATGTTGACAGGTACTCACGTTACATCACACTGCACATTATCAAATAGATGTCATCTTAATATGTTAAGCTTAGTCATCTAATCATCTTAATAAACAATGAACAGTGGCTCCAAGCTCCAATTTTCATAACTTCGCCACTCCATACCTAAATTCAAATCACAGAAAAGTCCTTTAAATGGTCGCTAATACGAATTTTTAAAAATGATAATGGAGGTAATATCTTGCAGCAAAGACTAAGATTATTGAAAGGATGAAGAAATCTGTAAATTTATTGAATTGTCTGTTAGAATTGTCTGTTCTGTTAGAATTTCTTGGGAGACACAAGGAAGAATAAATAAGCACTTTTGCTATAAAAATATGTCATTAGGGAATTTTCAGTAATTAAAAACTATGAACTTTTAAACGGTAAAAATTGATTTTAAACCATGTGGTCCATGTGTCGATGCTGGTAAATCTCCGCGTCGTTTTCAATAACGAAGACTTTTAGCGTTTCATCATGATTCTCCTCTGCCATTCTTGTGGCATCAACCGCTGCGTTACTACAATCACTAAGTGCCAAAATCAGATGTCTCCGTTTAACAGCGTTTAACAGCATTTATTTTATACGATCGACAAACTTGTACTGCTTCAATGCAATAGAGAAATTTATCTACCGCTGATAGAAAAACTTCTATCGGTTTGCAATTCAAAATACCAAAATTTGATTTTTTCTACCAGCAGTAGAAATTTTTCTACTGTCTATCAGCGATCGACAATTCATAATAAGCACTATTGTTTGATTGACCTGATAGATACTACAGTCGAGTTTTTGCTGTTTTATTTCTTTATACAAGCAAATCAAATATAAAATGAAATAAGAAGCAGATTTGCCATCCCATCAGCCCAAATATGATATAATTATAAGTATAATTTATAAGTATAATTGAACAAAATTCATTTATGTCTTCGACAAAAGTTGAAAATGTTTAAGTAAATTATTGGTAATAGTTTAATACCTAAGCTAACCATTTCAACAGTATCTGGCATCTGACCAACACATAAAAAAATATATAAGAAACAAGTAAAGACGTTACTTTTGGCCTTGCCGAAGCTTGAATAAAAATGAAATGTTCTAAATAAATGCGACAATTTGTTTCATTTGTGATTTCTTTTGAACCGTTATATTTTATAAATTATGCTTAAGCTCCATATTTGAAAAAATATAATAGAAGACAAAACAATGTTTCTAAAAAAATCCTGTGGCTGATTCTGAAACAGTTTATATGGCAACTGTATCTAAATCTAAACCGATATAAATAAGATTTTAAATATTCCATACCAAACTTTATTTGCATATCAAATAAAGTGATATAATAAATATAATAAAGTGATATAGTGATCCGATGTTGACCAGTCCGATAAATTACTGGGCTCTAATTTTGCAATCCTTTCACTTTTTTTGAACAATTTGTGCATAATTTGACTATTCATTTTTTATATATACAAAATATTTGTTTTTGGTTAAGAATTTCATATTCTTACATATATTTTTATATATGTATATATTTCGCGAAAGGTACTTACCTGTTATAAATGTTATATATACGTAGTCCTTAAAACCATAACATATTAAGTTTAGTGCTGAGTTAATAAATTAGGAAATAAGGAAAAAAATATATATTTCTAGACTATTCTTCATCATTGATCTTGGATTTATTATAATAAGCTAATAAGCGGCGATTATTTTAAACAATTTATTTAATCTGTTTATAGCTAGTAATAAATCTAACTCTAAGCAGATCTCCCAGTAATGTTAGAGGTTGATATACTTTAAACTTCTCAATATGCATATTTGTTGAAAAGGTGATATGTTTGAACTTAGTTTTAAGTACATATTTAAGTACATGAAATTTTTTTCAAGCTAGAAAGACACACTTTTTTTTCCATGAGTAACACTTGTCAAAGAGTTTTTTAGCCAAAATTATTTACTCATTGAAAATATTACCCGTTTTATACCTCATTTGAGAGTTTCTGGATTGTAAACATTCATTAATATATTCAGTAAAGAAGCGGCAACATTTGTTATAATGACTGTGTATAGGACAACGCCGTGATATGTATGTGTTCGTATCTATGAACTAAACTTAAATATCCATTAGACGCTCACTAGCATGCACGTTTCGGAAGAGGGAGACATATGGCGCAGTAACCCCTCCGAGGGAAGAGTTCATAAAGGAGATAGTTCAGACAGCGTTTTGCGAAACGGAATGATCTTTCGTTTTTTAATAAAATTAAATTCAAAATTAAGAATCATGTTTATTGAGCAGAACCTTAAAGATTATGTTTTTAGTGGAATGAGTTCAGGGTAAAAAAATACACCCCCAATCCCACTCCTGCCTACGCCATTGTTTACAAGTCTCAAGTGATTGGCTCTTTTGTGGTTCAGCATTGTTATGTTAAAAATCATTAACGAAGACTCAAAACAAATTTTCTCAAAAGTACACAACAAGTTTTGTGCTTCAGCGTGAGAAGTTATGAATGCCAAATAACGTAGATACATCCAATATCACTTTTGCACGAGGAGATTTTGCAACGCATCTTAGTGCCAGACAAATTTCCATTTTTACTTGAAGCATTTTTCAGTTTCACACCAAAAGAAGCGTTCCGTAGAGATCAAATAAAAAAATGTTGACTTTATTTCGTAATTTTGTAAGTAAAAAATAAATCTTTTTTGAGTACAGAAAAGAATGCTTACTTTTTTGCAGTTCCATAAGTTCTTATTGGTAGTTTATTTGACAGATAACGTAGTAGCGAACGACGTTTATGTTCCTTTGGAAGTACTGGTACCTAAAGTTATTACGGAAGACTATCAATTAATACCAGAAGCAAACATGTTTTCTTTGAGGTATCCATTCGCGATAGATGCAAATTGCAACAATTACCCAGAGAATATAATTTTTATTGCAGAATATCAAGTATCAATAATAATCGCTACGAAAAAACTGAAGTGAAGGATTTCGGTAAGCGTCAACAAGCACTATTCGTTTCGGGGTTTTACACTTCATTTCATCCCGACAGCAAACAGAACTCTCTTGTTATGTTCAAAGCTGGAAAAGATGGTTATTCGGCTCATTTTTTTATAAATCCTATGTTTGGTTTTGGCGGTGGTAGTGCGGCTCCACCTGACACCGCTATAAGTGCTAAGGCATTAATGAGTGCTTCAGGCTAAGGCAAATTAAATAACTTTCTTTAAATACTTTATTTCAGCTTTATTTTTAGATATTTTAGCTAACCACATATAATAATTGAAATGAACGACTGTATTTCTGTTTTCACAGTCATTTCTATTTAAAAAATAAATACCAACTTTCCAAATTTTTTAGACGCATTTATTGGAATTTTACATAATTAGTTAATCTCATTAAAATATAATTTCTTGACGTTTATTCATAGCATTTATGGCATAAATAAAAAAAAATGTTTCAGAGAGTTGTTACTGAAAATATACTTTGTAGCGAAGGCACAGAAATGAAAATTCGTAAAATTATGCAAATATGAAAGTAATGGGGTATATAGCAACACATTATACATTTGGGAGATGACTTCTAGGTGTGAGAAATAAAGAGAATCGTATGTACCGGATAAAATCTATATTCAACATTTACCTAGCGTATCAAAGGAGCAGTAACTCGTTTAATGACAATCACAGAAAAACAGTTAGTGAAAGGAAAATTTAATGAAAGGAGATATTTGTAAAAAAATAAAACATTCGGAAATGATGAAAAGAAAATGATAAAAAATTTTGAGTTAAATGACTTCCGTAAAAATTATCAAAGATTTTTCGGAAGAAACAACTTTGAAGCATATTAATTTCCGAAATTTTTTAAGTAGGAAGACACATTCGACATATTCGACAAACGAAAGATATTTTATTGAAGATTTATTTTGACGTTTCTATAATATATGACAAATAACAACCACAGCAATGGTATTGGAATATAACACAGTCAATAAGACGTGTGACTAACTAAGAAAAACAAATTTTTTTCGATTTTACTCGCTTCTCTACCTTCTCGATGCCGTGCTTGTAGAAGGGTTTGTGTTTTACCTCAAAATAGGCTTCAGTTGCAGCAATTACTTCTTCATTTGAGATGAATTTCTTACCGGCGAGCATTTTTTTGAGATCAGAGACTACCCAATAATCGCTGGGGGGCAGATTTGGACTATACGGTGAATGAGGAAGCAATTCGAAGTGTAATTCGTGAAGTGTAACTTTGCCGTCGTTTTTATTGATTGGAGTCTGTGTGTCAGTGACACGACTTATTGACTGATGTATTATGTGCAAAAGTAGCAACAAAAAAAACGTAAGAATCTGTTGAATTTTTACATAAACATATAATAACTATTATGTCAACTCTTAAAGATATTTGCCACGTTTACACGTCGCATGACAACGCGTATAAATGCATTTTTAACCCATATCGAAACTTTTTGTGTCCCGCAATTTAATGCAATTGGAATACGAACGGTTTAGGTATTCATGTAAGCACTATCTATAGACGATTTCGGTGGCTCGAAAATATGACAAAAAATAGCAAGTTACTGGCCAATACTGGCCGATATGTACGCAAAACCACAACAATATATTCTCTATATAGACCAATAGTTATTTACTGGCCAAACACTTCGGCCAGTAAAGAAAAAAGTGTTTTGAACGCAATAAGTGAACCTTCATTGGAAATTTCAACGAATATTGTAATTATATGTTAAAAATCATTTGTAAACAAAAATTCAAACAAAATTCAAAAATTTCATAAATTTGAAAATTAGGAAAATGAAAAAAATTTCAGTGTTTTATTTTAAAATTTCCAACATTCTTACCATTCCTTTTAATTTTTAATTTTATATTAACTATTTAATTTATACAAAATGTAATTCGCTTGCATTATGCTATTTTTGCTAATTGTCAAAACATAACACTTGACAGATTGCAGCAGTGATGCCAATGTCTCGGTTAGCGAATATAGCCCAGCATGCATTTTTTGCCATACTTGCGAGCCATCGAAAACGCCTTATATTAGGTCTGTTCCACGACCTAAGTTGAGTTTTACTACGAGTACCTCGTGGAATAGACCTGTCTACCAACACGCAAAATTCCACTTTGTTTTTATTATTGCAAATGATCGAAAAAAACAATTATATATCTTTTTTGTTACTTTTGTGCCTCAATTGAAGAGGGTGTGCGATATATTCTTAGCATGTATTAAACATTGTTGTAATTCACAACAATTACGTTGTTTTACGTTGTAATTACAGTTTTGGAAAGAAAATAATTTTGCAACTGTTTCAGTTTATATCAGATCTAACAAAACACAATGTTGCTTTTGATAACTTTTTTACCTGCCATAAGCTGTTGTGTATAATGTCTGAAAATGGAAATTTTGCAACTAATTCCGTTTGCGACAGTCGTTGAAGACGTTGATATGATAAAAAAAGTCCAAAGGTTCAACTGATTTTTACTTTAACAAAGAAAATAATATTAGAGCTTTGGAATAATCATTCGATAAATTTAAGAGCAAATATTTTTTTCTTAGGTATTGTTTATGTACTTATTATATTAAATTTAAGTTTGTCACTATGATGTCTGATTTCCTTGATGTGAAATCGATGTAGAGAACTAAAAGATATAATAAAACATCGAAAGGTGACAACAATTGAGCAACTATCACGCATACATTAATACAATCAGCTGATGGGTGGAGTTGATAAATTGAACAACTGAATGTGCAATTATAAAATTTAAGTTTTTCGTAAATATTGATATTGGCCGTTTTTAATAAATGCTTTTAATTCTACATTGGCGAACGTCTAGAAGTTACACTGCTTGTGCAGAAAAACTGAAAGTTTATCTACAACTATTGTCTGCTATAGTCCTGAGTAAGCATTGTGGAATCAGTGGTTACAGAACTCGAAAATCGAGAACATAATTCCGAAAATGTTTTCACAAATACTCAACAAATAACAAGGCACCTAGATAAATTTGACCGTATAATTCAAAAAATAGATAAACCTGACAATTGCAGACAATGTGGCGGTTAAACAGAATTGCAGTGTTCAAGATTTGGTTTAAACCTATATTCCAAAAATTCCTTTTCTTACCTAAGTGACATACCAAAAGATATAAATAAAACGAAACAGACTCGATAAAGAAGTAATATCCATATTTTCAAGTAAATAGATCTGGGTTGTATACAAGATTTAGCAGCCGTCACGTAAAATCAGCCGCCAATGAAAGACGTAAAGATTCCTTGAAATTGAAAAGCGCTTAATGTTGACGACCCTCACAAATGAACAAAGAACAATCATTTACGGATATGCAATTGGAATGTCCGGACCCTGTATATGGAAATTGCCACTATCAATAAATATAAAGTTGATGTCACCGTCATCCACGAAATGTGATGGACACGACAAGGCTGCTCTAAAAGAGAAAAGTGCAATATCAACTATAGCTGTCATGCGAATAGGCATAAATTTGGATTCGGTTTTGTGCTAAGCAAGAGACTGTCAAAATCAGTCCAGCGATTTATATTGGTAAACAAAAGACTTGCTACAATCCGTATTATGGGAAAATTGTTCAATACCAAACTAATTTGAGCACTTGCGCAGACAAAAGAAAAGGACGATTTAACTAAAGATACCTTCTACGCTAGACTCGAAGAAATTTATGACCGCAGTCCCGCCCACGACGTTAAGCTTGATCTGGGGAATTTTAACGCAAAGGTTAGAAGATAGGAAATATTGGTCCAACTGTCCAAAATTTAGTCTCCATGAATTAACCTTCAACAATGGTCTGAGGCAAATCGATTTTGCTGTGGCGCGAAATATGGTAGTATGTACCACCAGATTCCCACATCGCGATGTTCATTAATCAACCAGATTGATCACTTCGTGATTGATGCTAGGGACGCTTCAAATGTGCTGGACGTACGTACATTCCGTGGTCGAAATATAGACTCAGATCAGAAGATCAGATCAGACTAGAATATCAGTAAGATTTGATTAGATATGAAATGTAAAGGAATTAATAACACACCCTACTTGAATGGTTGGTTGGGTGGGGTATGGGTGGAACTCGTAGTGCAACCATCTCGTCGTGGTGAGTTCTGAGTCGTTTCGTGTTTACAAAGCGGGTAAAGCGTTGTACAAATAAAGTTAAGTAAACCAGACAATTTCGAATATTTTCAGTTCATGTGATTGATATATGTTATAATATGACTAAAGTTTAATAGTATTTACATTTCTGGTAGTTTAAACAAAATACTACGGTAATATACCATTGTGCACTGCATTAATTTTCAGTTACAACTTGCAACTGCCGTCCTTTTTAAATATGAAGAAATGCGTGAAAAATGAGGTGTTTATCAATTTAGCGTTCATATTTGGCGACAGGTTAATATTATTATATCAGTGGTTTGTTGATTTACTTTAATATTTCGAACTTTAAACTAAATAACAAAAGTTAAACCATATTAATTGTGTGTATACTAATAATTATAAAATTTTTTTGAAAAAGTGATCGATTTATTCAGTTTTGTCAATTTTTGGAAGCGATGCGCGAACAGAAGATATCAACTGATAATTTTTATTTTTTACACTTTTCTCTTCTATACTAGAGGCCACTTTTGCGCACAATAGCGTTTCAAAAAAATTTTTTTTTGTCTTTCGAACCACCCTTTTGTATATGCTTGATGACATCACAAAGTCCCATCATCGTTTTATAAAGTACCATTTAATAAGATCTTATAAAATCTGGCATTATTTGAAGACGTGCAGAAATGAATTCTACGTTTATGTGGGTTTATTTTTGAAAACTCATTAAAAAAAATTGAATGCATAGACAAATATATATTCGCAATATGGAACTTTTTCTACTACTCTTGTTGTATTAATTAAAAGAAACTATTGTTTAAAATTTAAGAAAATATACACTAATCAACATATATAATTCAAATATAATTGGCGTCACATATCGGTTTTTTATCTTCAGCTTCTGCATCAACAAAAAAGTTATGAAATATAAATAAATACTAACGTTTGAAAGAGCATTCATTTAACTTCTGTCTAGCTCACATCAAAGAATCAGTTTGTAGTAATAGATTATATATATATAGGAAGACTGATGGCTAACGTAAGAGGTCCTACCCAGAGTAAAAGAAAATTACTTAGGCAACCACAAATCAAATATTACTTTACGGGTGTGAGATTTGGGCAAACGCCTTAAAGGTTGAATGTAGAAGGAAA